TTTTCTTTACAATATGGAGACGTGTGTTATATAAGCTTCTCCAAAGCAATAACAACAAAAACGTTATGGAATTGACTATCATAATCAATTTGAATTCATGACCATGAAAGTCAAAAAACGTTTTCTGATGTTAACGAAAAAAATATGTGATTCTTTTAATTAAAAGCAATCATTCAATTGATTTAAATTTGGTCGACAATACTAAAAGGTATTAAAGTTGACCAAAACTTAAACTCACTCCCAATTTTAACTCGGTACATCTTTTCATTAATATACCATAGTATATTTACTAATCCCCTATACATTAAAAGAAAAGTCATTTTAGTGATTTTTGGACACGTGGCATTCATAGAGGGCTTCTAGGATTAATTCTCTTAATCTTATTGGTTAATTTTTTTAATTTATTTTCTATTTTTGAATTCAGCGCGAAGAGTAATTTGATAACAAAACTATCGACGTTTCCGAGCACTCCAAATTTGTTAGTTCATTTTAATGACTTACCTTATTTTAATAATACATACGTTGCACAAGTTGTAACTTTCTTTAATCTATTTTAATTAATTTTTAAATCTATCAAATATAATAATTCATATTAAATGTCTTATCTTATTTAAAAACTACATTACTTGCACAATAATGAAATTAAGCCAGGAATATTAATTTGTCGATCACTAATAATTTACTAACCTTACTAATAATTAATACATGTATTAATAATTTTCCTTATTAGATATTACTTGCGCAAGAACATAAATTAATATAATATGTATTAATAGATTTCCTTATTACAAATACGGAAAACAATTCACTCTTGATATCATATTGATTACATTGTTTAGTGCGATTTATCGATTTGTATCTAATTAGGCTGTTTGTTATTATTAACTTACCTTATTAATATTAAATATACAATTTCTAATATATAGTTTCTATATACAGTTTCTCATATGATTAATCGTATAGAATATATAATATTCTCAATAATTTATTAGAAAATATTCTATTTATTAGCTTATCATGCAAGCTAAATCATTGAGAAACATCCATCAATTTACTATATATAAGACATTCACAATATGAGAAACGAAGCCACTGAACTTTTTATTCTGAACTTTTTATGTTGATACTGTTTTTGTTATTTTACATCATTAAGCTTTTACATATACATATTTCATCATAACTGACTTTTCTTTTGGTTTATATGCAGATGCCTTATTATAACGATTTCACCACGATGCAGGAATTTTTTTTTATCTTTCTATATGATTTGATTAATCGTAGATCTATTTGAGTTCTAATTCTTACTTTTTTAAATATGTTCATAGGTATTATCTTTCTATTTAATGATTGTTTGTTAGAGCTTAGAAGGAGAAGAATGCTTTCATATGTATTTTTCTATTGTTTTTTTTAATTTACAATTTTAGTTTATATGTCCAGACCAACGATTATGACATTTCCTCCTGTGGATCCATATGTACTTAAATCTCTCTTCACATTCATGTTATTCAGAGACATGAACATTACAAATGATCATATCATCCAAAACACGTAAACTACAATGTAAGTTTCATGCTTTGTTACTTTCTCTATGTTTTTCAAATAATTATTTGCTTATACACTAAAGGAAAAAATTAATCAATATTTTATTATAAAAGTTAGTATAACTTTTTATACATTTTATCAACTTTATACTCAAATATGATTTTATACAATTTATCATATTATAAAATGTATATCCTATAAATTCATATATGTAAACTATATATTTCTTTTTTGTCATTTTTTTTGTCATCATAAACTATATAGTTCTTATATATCTCAAGAAATGTATTTACAAGAATTTTTATAACAAATATTTCAGGAACCATAAGACTTTATATATCTCAAGAAATGTATTTACAAGAATTTTTATAACAAATATTTCAGGAACCATAAGACTTAATGATAAAATATGATTATTAATTCATAATTATTCTTTAAATTTGATATATTCTGAATTTTTTATTATATATAATTCTAAACGAAATAATATTTCTAGGAAGTATTTTTTTAAATATATATTTAATTGACAAATTTAAAAGTTAAATTTTCGTGAAAATATATGTCTATTAAGTAAATTTCTTGTTCTTTTATGATGTCATTTATTAGTAACTATATACATGTGATATTGCATTAAATGTGTATGTTCTTTATTTCCTAATTAGTTAATTCAGAAATATGATGATTACCTTATTTTGCTATCAATTACTTGCACAAATTTATATGATAATGGTGATTTAAGTTAGAAAGGCCCAAAACTATTATCCATTTAGAAAACCACAAATATAATGGTGATTTGAGATTTAGAAAATGTAATTTACTATAGATATACATTTGTTTGTTTTTTCTATTAACAAATAAATAACACAGATGAAAGACCGTTTGTAGTTGACTACAAACCATTTTTCAGTTTGTTTCAATAGCGATATGAAAATTCAATATTATTTTCGTCTCGATAAAATTTAGAAATCTATTAAATTATTTTATATTGTACAATTGCTAAAAAATTGACAATTTTTTGCAGGTTTCTATGGGATTTTTTTAATTTATAATTGTTCTTCTTATTTTATATTACTTATGAATTATATTTAAACTTTTATCACATTTTCTATGAGATTGTGATATCTATGAGATTTTTATCACATTTTTAATATGTCACTGTCCCCTGTATATTTTTCTTACATTTGTTTTTTTTTAATAGTTAACTTTTATTAAAAACATACTAATGATGTTAATTTTTTTTACTTTAGTTAAATTTCATTTGTTTTATTCTTATATACTTTTTGTGACTTTTTAGTTTTTGTTTCAGTTTAATACTGAATTTAGTTCACATACTTTATGTGTATATGTTTTAAAACATAATTTTTCTTTTAAAAAATTAAGCGACAAAGAGCCTAATTAAACCGAACTGAATATAAATTGAACTGGACATAAACCACACCGAACCAGACTAAATAGGGTTTATTTCAGTTGAAAAAAAATATTAAAACCGAACTAAAGAAACCAAACCGAAAAAGTAACGATTTGTCCACCCCTACTGCATCCTAGAGATTTGCGCAAATCTTGTCTCACCATTGAAACTCTCACTTGTTCCACTAACTCCCACATTTGAACTCAATAGATACTCATATTTCAGCATTATACTATATTTTTATACCTGTATAGGGTGCGGGCGGATCAACTAGTTCTCCATATAAACAAGAGGACTCTTACTTCATATTTTTATATGGGACATTTACTAGTTTTTAAACATAGTCAAACTGTCAAGCTATACAAACTTTCCAAGTCAATGACTTTGGACCAACATTTCTTATTCAAACAAACACTATTTTTAACATATAAATATACATTTTTTTTATGCTCAAAAATAGTTCCAACACCGACCACCTAAGGGGTTTCTTCGGCCGCATCGGCTTTATGCTTTTTGAGAAAAGGTTCTTCAGAGCTTCCCCAGCCCGATCCTCCATCCCGTCCTGGACAGTCAAAGCTTTTTAATTTGTTCATGTTCAGAGTGATAGGAACCAAGGGAAAACTGTCATGTATTGATTTTTTAACAGAAGTTCCAGAAAAAAATAGCCTAATTCGTAATAATTTTATGTTTGTTTAGATTTTAGAATTTTGAACTGTCAAAGATTTTAAGTTCCTAAAATAGGTTACAGTAACAACAAAAACAAATTATAGAAAAAAACTCACTTGGAAGATTGGGAGATGAAACAACAATCAATCAACAATAGATGAAGACACATATATTTTAGGAAAATAGTGTTATAGTAAAGAAAGGAAGACATATAATTAGATTAGAGTACAATAATTTAATTTATTTTATACTTTATATTTAATAAAACTACAAAGATTAAAACGAATAAGCTAAAATTCTTTGAAAAAGCGATTTTATATTGGATCAAAAGGAATAAACTAAAATTCTTATTAATCATTATCAAAATAAAGAAAGGATTTTTAACATAAAACCCCCTAAACTAAGTTTGTTTTGGGTAAAAACCCCTAAATTAAATATTTAACCAAAAAATCCTCAAATTAACTTTATTTAACGAATTAAAATCTCGCCGGTCATAGTTATCAATAATATTGGTAAATATTTAGTTTATGAGTTTTGTTATTAAACATAAAAAATGAAAAAAAAATCAAAATATGATAATATTATATAAAAATTCGTATTTTTTAATTTTCAAAACTAGCATTTAAAATTTTCTGTAAATATATGAGTGGTTTGTTATCCTTTTTAAAATGGATTTTAAACTCTAAAATACCTCAACTAAGTTTATTTTGGATAAAAACCTCTAAACTAACAAGTAAATCCTCATATTAAGTAAACATAGTTGAAGGTTTTTATCATTAAAAATCTTTAAGAAAATTATAACATTATCTAAAAATTAGCAACTTAAAATTTTAAAATTAGCATTTTTAAAAATTTCTGTAAATATATGAGTTTGATTTGCTTTAATATCAACATTATATATATAAATTAAAATGGTAAAACACCAAAATATAATAAAAATCATCTAAAGATTTATTATTACATTTTTATTAGATAAGATATAATTTTTATTATGTTTTCTTGTTTTTTTTACATTTATAATTTTTTGATAATTTTTATTACAGGTAAATCTTTAGATAATTTTGTTATATTCTGGGTTTTTACATTTTAAATTTACACATATATAATGTTTTTTGTACTTATATAATATTGATTTTAAAAGGATAACAAATTAGACTCATATATTTACAGATTTTGTTTTTTAAAATGTTAGTTTTGAAAATTAAAATTATGAATCTTTAGATAATGTTATTTTATTTTGATTTTTTTTTATTTTTAATGATAAAATCACTAAACTAAAGATTTATCGGTAGTACGGGTATATAATCGGTAATTATAATCGGTGAGAGTTTAATTCATTAAATAAAGTTAGTTTAGGATTTTATTTGATTAAATAAATAGTTTAGAGAATTTTACCCAAAACAAACTTAGTTGAGGGATTACAAACTTAGTTAAGGGGTTTTTATGTTAAAAAAGCCATAAAGAAAATAAAGCAAAACATAAGGAAAAAAAAGAAGTGAGATTTGAGCATGCTACTAATATGACTTAAGCATGCCACAACTAGAAAAACAGAAGTGGTATGAACAAGAAGTCTATACATCGACTTTTATAACTACGAAATTTGTTCACTAAACCATTTGACAGTCAAAGGTTTTTAATTTGTTCATGTTCAGAGTGATAGGAACCAAGGGAAAACTGCCATGCGTTGCAAGCTTCTCAGGGGTTTCTTCTTCAGACGCATTGGCTTTATGCTTTTTGGGACAAGGTTATTCAGAGCTTTCACTGCCTGTACCTCCACCTATTTGCCATTCAGGATTTTCTGGCTTGTTCATGTCCTCAGTCCGAGGTTCCCAGAAAAAACTGTCCATCATCTCTTCGGCCTCTGCATCTTCAGATCTTTCATTTGTTACATCACCAAAAGGTCTATTTTCTACTTTATTGATGTCCTCAGTTTCCAAGGGAAAACTGCCATGCGTGGCAAGCTTCTCAGGGGTTTCTTCTTCTGCGGTGGCATTGGCTCCATGCTGTGTGGGACAAGAAGAAGGTTGTTGAGAGATTCGGCTTGTTTCATCATCAAACAAGTGTGCGCCTCTATCTAAAAGCAATAGAGGCCATTCAGGGCATTCTGGTTTGTTGATGTCGAGAGTCGGAGTGACTAAGAGAAGATCGTAATGCATGTTAGCCAAATTTTGAAGCATATCCGTGTAGTAGGCGTCATCATTGAACTGATCGGAGAATATGAGCAAACTAGCTTCATAATGCCTGGCCAACAGAGGAGAGTCCCTTTTCCATAAATAAATGTCGTTTATCCTGACACGTCTTGAGGCTTTATCCCCTGGAAAAACAATATCAAATCGAAGTGAGATTATTAATACAATACAGAGTAGATATATAAAAGGGGAAAAAAAGAGTGTGAAATCTCTCACCTCCGGGGAGAAAGTGGATTCTGGAAGCCCACGTCTTGTCACCAAGTAACCTCTTGTCATCATCATCAAGATAGGCCCAGATGGTAATGTTATCACTAAAGTCCCTTGCCACAAGAGCTGATGAGATAGATTGGTAGATGTTATCAGGAGTGGAACCAAGAGGGAATGGGCAAGCCACAGCATCCCAGAAGACGGCTGTCCTAGCCCCTTTGGCGGTCGGGATACGCTCTGAGCCATGCAAATAGAAAGAGAGAGCGAGGTTAAATACCATTTATAAAAATATTAATATGAACAAACAATTTTAGGAAAGGGTCTTACCGGAGAAATCTACCGTCTTGGAGACATCTTCTTTGATCTCCACATATTGTTCTTCGGATATATGATACTCACACATATAATGAGGATATAACTCTTTGAATCTCGGCTTTCCTCCACCTAAAAGTCGTGAATTCTCAAGCAGAGAGTCTACAGTAAAGAGAAGTTCTGCATCAGGCTGTGGCGGTGGCTCTACAAGAAGAACATTGTGACGCCTAGATTTCAAGCACTGCAGAACCCTATGCAACTCCCTTTTTGGTTTTGCGATTACACAAATATTTACTGGTCCTGTTCCAATCATAGATGCCTGACGAATCATATACCAAGTGATATCCGGCACTTTGTACACAGCAGCCGTATAAGACTCACCTATAAAAGAGAAACAACAACTCATCGGATTACATTACATATAATAATTAATTAAACTTAGAAACTAGTACGAGAGCTAAAGGGAGAGTGTTGTTGTGAGGAGCTTTACCATGGGGTAAGCAGTGGGGGCTTAGTTCGGACACTTTTTTGTCATAGTTGACTTGCTCAGAATACAATATCACGTCTATGAACTCACCCCGAAAACCCATTACATTAAGAGCTTTTACGATTTCACCAAAAATAGGACCAAGTTCATCGCTAGTATCTACAGGGATTGGGTAGTCATCTATGTTCCAGAACACGAGTGTCATCTTCACTACAGAAAATACAAAAAAAAAAAAAAAACCATTATTATTTAGCTATAATCGATATCAGGTTAAATCGAACTAACAATTTCGGGTAATAGAGATGGAGAGAGATCTTACAGGACTCAAAACCGATGATCTCGTTGTCGTCGTCACCCATGGCTCTACGGAGATAGACGATGAGAATTGGAGATTTCTAGGGTTTAGATCTTCTTGCTTTGTTGCGAGAGGTTGCGGCTCGCTAAGAGACCTATCTTATCTATATATATAGCCCTTGGATCCTCAAATAAAAAAGGAAAATATCCAAAAACGGTGTTTGACATGTTTTCAGCCGTCCGATCTGGCATTCTTTTCCTTTATTTTTTTTTGGCCAAAACAAATAAATTAAAGTTTCCAAATCTCTGCCCAAACATGCATTCTAGTCTAAGGAGATTTTTATCAAATTTAGTAACCCAATGAGTCCTCTAAAGGGTCTCCTTAAATCCTATAAGGTTTTGAAACCTCTGCCCGGTTACACGGATTATTTATAACTAAAAATTTATAGTTGGATGATAATTTTATAAATTTTGGTTCGTGAAAACTTATTTTTAGTGCTGATTTATCTGAAGAAAATAACATATTATTGTGAAAAATAAATTCTACAATTGACTGAAAGAAAGGAACCAAGAAAATTGTGCTATACGACTTCCTGCTACAACGTAATAATAAAGACAAATAAAACGACAAACGCTCAACAATCATAATTTAAAAAATACAAACAAAATAAATGGGTCTACATGGTTGCATTAATTTGGTGAATGTGCTTTTGTATAAAACTTTAAGAAAACATCATTTGGATTGGAAGTAACCTTTTTAAACTAGATTTTTTTTTTAACTAGAATCTAATTAATAAATTTTGGTTTGTATCCTATTCATTGACCATTGTTTTAAAATAATGGTACGAAATCATTTCTTATCTTTTTTTTTTTGAAAAAAAGAAATCATTTCTTATCTTATATCATTTATTCTGAGAGTTGAAAAATACATTATACATAATAATATCAAATCAATTAATCACATATAAACATTACACCAAATATATTACTTAAGTACATTAATCATATTTTTTTACACCATCATCAGTTCCGTGGCACATCCCACTTTGGTTTAACCAAAGAATCCCCTTCATATGTTTTCTTTATTTTGAGAGGTCTAAATGTTTAAGCTGCTTATGTGGCTATTTTTCAGAAACAAATCACATCCGTTCTTGGATCTACCTACTCTACTGATGTCTTTTCTATTTTTTCACTCACACCATACCTTGTTCACCTATGGTTTATGAAGATATTGTAGCATGCACCATACATGTCTCTTCCTCAAATGCTAAATTCAAAACAGTTTGCCACCTCACCCTTCAAGCAGTTGTGTGTTGCCATTGGAGAGAGAAGAATTCACGCTTGCCTTCATGTGTGATCAAGCCATCTCATATCCTGGTTAAGGATATTCATTATTTGTTACTTCGAGCAACAGTGTCGAGTTGGAATCGTGTAGCAACAATTAGGAGTTACATGTTTATACATGGTGCAAGTATATCTAGTTGTGATGAGAATACTTGATTAAATGATTTCAAATTCTGTTAGGGGTTTTAGGTGTTGCTTCACTTGTGTTTTCTATCCCTTGTATATGTATGAAACGTTAGATCTTTTCATCCGGTGTCCAATGATTGTAATTCAAAATGATACGTCATTTGGGAAAAGATGATTAAAAGAATCGTATTTAAAAAGGGTTTTTAGTGATAAAACCTTCAATTAAACTAAAGATAGATCGTAAAAAAAAAAAAAAATCAACTAAAGATTTAGTGAAATAAACCTTCAACTTTAGTTCTGTTAATGTTTGTCATCCTCTGCCACAAAATTTTAAATGGAGGGTGACATACGTTAACAAAACTAAAGTTGGGAGTTTATTTCACTAAATCTTTAATTGAAGGTTTTTGTTACGATCCATCTTTAATTGAGGGGTTTTACTACTAAATACGATTAAATAATTTAAAACCTTTATTAACATTTATTTATTATTTAACAATCTTACAAATGTTTATAAATATTTAAAATAATTTATAATTTTCTATACATTAATTTATCAATTTTTAATCTATTTATAAAGCTTAGTATATATTTTAATATTTTATAAACTATTAATAAGGTTTAACGTTGATTTTATAAGTTTTTGTCTGTTATTTTTAGGATAGAATAATACATGATTTTTTATATATTACAAAGTAAAGCAATAAAACTTTATAAAGGAAGAAACACATAAAATTTTCTTATATTAATACTGTCAAATCTCAAATAATTAAGATTTCTAAATTATATAAAGTTGTCGGTAGTGTTAAGGATATTTAATTAGTTTAGAAATTCAACATTGTTACTTAAAATTAATATGGCAATGGTTTTTTCTTCCTCTTTACACAATTTTAATTTGATTCGTACTTTTTTCTATTTCAGAAAAATAATGTAGGATTATTTTTCTTCTTTTTTATTTCTGAACGAATATATTATACTCTTACCATGTTAATCAATAAAATTTTCTTATTTTATTTATTTATTCCATGTTTTTGTAATATGACGAATAATCACATCTTTAATCTTATAAAATCATCATTAAACCTTAATAATAATTTATAAAAGTATTAAATGAGAAAACTTTATAAATAAGTTATAAATTGATAAATTAATATATAAAAATATAAATTATTTTAAATGTTTATAAATCAATTTTTAGATTTTTAAATAATGAATAAATGATAATAAAAAATATTTAATCGGATTTAGTAATAAAACTCCTTCAACTAAAGATGGATTGTAACAAAACCCTTCACCTAATGATTTAGTGAAATAAATCCTCAAATTTAGTTTTGTTAACGTATGTCATCTCCGTTTAAAATTCCGCGACGTATGGTGACATACATTAACGGAACTAAACTTAAACGTTTATTTCATTAAATCTTTAGTTGATGGTTTTTTTATGATCCATCTTTAGTTGAGATGTTTTATTATTAAAAATCATTTAAAAACTGACCAACGTGGATTAACTATACTATAAAGTTTCTAAACTTTAAAGCCTTTATAAGATTTCAATAACTTTCCTATAATTGTTTGATTTGTAATTTCACGTAATTAATATAGGTGGGGGTTTCAATGGTCAAAGTCAAGGTTAAAATAAGTGAAATGGCCCCTCATAAAACTCCATATAGAAACTGACAAAATGGTTCTCCACACAGACAGCCGTGCCTCACTATAAAATTTCCAACATTTTTAGCCCTAATTTGTATTCTTGTTTTGTCTTTATATACACGCACTATTTATAATATCCACACAATTCATATAGAGCAAAAATTGTCACTATTGGTAATTCCATAAGCTGTATAAATGTGCATTAACTTGAAAAGCCAACTGCTACAGTTAACGTATACATGTGCAGTTACCTGAAAGGCCAGAAGCAAACTTTGAAAGCAACTTTTGGAAGCTAAGAATCAACACAAATAGCGAAGTAGATCATCTATATAAAGAGTGTATTCGATAAAGCAACAAAGATGAATTGTAAATTAGATTTAAGATATAGAATCAAATTAAACTTAAATACGAAAAAACAAAGAACATTATGAGTTTGAGTTCACACAACCCTAGTTCTGAGAACATTATGCGTATATCAATAGATAAATCCGATCGATTCACATGTGTATGTAAAAACCAAAATTCTTATGTACAGCAATTTACCATGAAACTGATCAAGATTTATCGAATCCACATCACTCATATTATTATTATTATTATTATCAATTGACAATTGGTCACTGCTCCTTCTACATTTGATGCATTATTCACGTATGAAAATAAATAATGAAACATCTGTTCCACATACTTGAAAAATAGTCACTATTTATTTTTTACGGCTCTTAATTTTCTGAATTACGATGTTTGATGTAAAAACAACGTTAAGAACCAGCTTCAAAAATAAAAAAAACAACGTTAAGAACCAGAAGGTAGCATATTGGCTTCAGTATGGTTAACGATTTCACAAAATTATTGAGAGCCTTCGAAACGACAAAATAACATTTTTGATACGATATGCTCAAATAAATAAATTAAAATAAAATAAAAAGTTTCCTCATAAGAACTTTTAACAGAGTCTGATGCATGCATTAAACAAAAAGGACAGCAAAACCAAAAACTGAAGGATTGGGACAAACCATCCTTTGTCATTACTTTTCATTTTCTTTGAGAAAAAATTCCCTTATTTAAAATTAATGATTTAGAACTCTGATTTTTATTGTCCAAAACGATTTCAACAATAATAACAGGACACAGAAAATAATATCAGATAACGTATTGCCAAGATTGGACTGCTGACGCTGACGATCACTGACACTAGTCCCAAACTAGTAATGAGGGCTTTTACGACATTATATAACCGTTTTGTGTGCTTCCGACTTCCGAATCTCCACGACGACCGGCAGCAGCAAGTAAAAGGAACGTAACATTATTTGTCTGCTCATTTTTGCGCCTTAATCTGATGTTTTTGTTCACTGGAATAAAGTTTAATACTACGAATTTTAATTCTGTTTTTTTGTACACAAAACATTGGGATCGATGCTTAGTTAAACTTGCATTCTTTATGGGCTTATTTTTTCTTGTTTAAAACTAGGCTTCTGTTTGGGTTCAGTAAAAAGTATGTTTCTGTGGTATGGGGCTGATGTAATCTTTTCTTTTTATCTCCACGTTCTTATGCTTCTTCAAGTAAACATTAACATCCCTTTTCACCTTTCAGTTTCTAATCTTTGGATTTTGCAAGTTTCTCGTTTTGTGTTTACGGAGCTTTAACTTTAACTAGCATCTTGATGTTTTCATCTCTAACTCGAAATGTAAAAGATAACCTTAGAATATTTACAACGGAAGCCTTCTTAAAAGCCCATATGGACAGCAGTGTACAGGAAATAACATAAGAAGGTAGTTTTTCGTCTTTTACTGGAAGACTAGATTTTGATCCGCTCTTTGGTAATATACTATTTAATCTTGAATATTCAGATCCTCGAGTCGGTTTTGGATTGTGTCTTGTCGGGTTCAGATCTTTCAAATCCTAGAAATTTAGACCCATATAGGTACCTATAATTTTTTGGGTCGGTTTTAGATCAGGTCTTGTCGGGTCGGTTCGGGTATTTAGGACCCGAAAATGATCCGAAGAACCCAAACTGGATCCAAAAACTCGAAAATACCAAAAAATCTAAAAATGCTCGAAGAACCGCAAAAATATCCGAAAGTTTATCTAAAATCAGATCCAAAAATTTATAAAATACCCGAAATTTTATCCCGATACCCGAATTATGTTTTTTTCAAAATCTTAAATTTTACCTAAAACCTAATATTATACCCGGAAATCCAAATCTGAAACTTTAAAAAATACCCAAATTATCAAAAATATACCAAGTCGCCAAAATATATCTAATATATATATAATAATTTGTGGGTACTTCGGGTACCCGATCGCGTTTCGAGTAGGACCCGAGCCTGAACCGAGACCCGCGAGTCCAAACAAAAAATATCCAACGGATACTTTAGCATGGACCTGAACCTGTATTTTTGGGTCGGTTCTTGTTCGGGTCTTCAGATCTGGGTAAAATACTTAAGCCTAATTCTGTTGACGAATTTATAAACTTACGAATATATAATTTTTTTTGTATAGATTGGAAGCCCATTTTGTTGTAAATAAATGTTAAAATTATTGGGCTTTTAATAGGCGATTTTCAATTGGGCTTTTAATGGACGATTTTCATTAAAAATTAAAGAAAGTGAGATGTTTCGTAATTTTCTTAAAACATTAGGGTCAGAACTCCAAAAGTGATTCTACTTTAATAATATAGATCTTTTATAGAAATAAAGTGAATTTTTCATATATCTGTGCCTAAAATTATGGATGGGGATTTGCATATCGATTCATTCCAAAGTATTTGGTATCCAGTCTAATTAAGGAAATGGTAAAGAAGTCAAAGGATAATAAAAAGAGAAAATAGTTTTTTTAAGCCAAATAGGTTTAGACATTGTCCCCTTAGGTTAAATTCATTCATTTATTGTCCTATTAGGCTAAATATTTTCTAAATAGCAATACTATCCTTAAATTATATTGTTTTAATTATTAATTTGTAATTAGGTTAATTATAGTTATAACATATTGTTTTTTTTAATAATTAAATATAATATAATGTAATTATGGTGTTAATTTTCATTACCCTAAATCCCTATTCCTTCTGTCGTTCTTCATCTCCAACCTCCTTACATGAGTTTCTGAATCGAATAGCTGCAAGGAGCTTACTACGCTAGGAAGCTTCTAGGGTTTTTCTCTGATCATATCCTTCCCAGTTGAAGATTACCCATCTTCGTCATTCGTTACTTCTCTGCCTCAGTTTCGATTTGGCGCTCATCTTCGTCACTCGTTACTTCTGTGTTGATTTCAGATAGCCATACCTTTACGGATGGCATGCTTCCTACTTCTAAGCCCTTGTTTGGGGCAGTGAAGCTGGAGCTCCCTTCATTCCAATATTCAGAAACTAGTGCGCTTGATCAGTGGAAGACGACACCGTCACCTCCACACTCAGATCCTCTTGACTCTGTTGATGCTTATATTCAGTCTCCACCACCATTGGAGATAGAGCAGTCAAGCGACACTGGCCTACTAGATATGTTACTTTCCAGTGCCAAGATCAAAACCAGTGCGAGGCGTAGTTTGGCTCTCCCCGAGATTACAATTCCCACGCAACTTACTGCAGGTGAAAATTCACCCGGTGAGATCAAAGTCTCTCGTTGATTGGTATCTTTAGTTGATGTGTTTGGTGTCTTGTGGCTGAGAGTCCCGTTTTCATATTTTATTGAAGATTCTGCAGGGAACGTTGTAAAGACAGAAGAGTTGGATCAGGTTTGGGAACCAAAGAGAGTTGATGTAACATGGCCTGATGTTTTACTTGCGTCGAGCTGGCTATACCAACAAGGCTGTCTAGGGATTGTAAGAGACTCAAGCAGCATGAATGATGAGCTTGCGTTTCTTCTTGGTGGTGAAGACACTGAAAACAGTTATGTTACTGTTGCGTCATCATCAGGTCAAACACAACAAGGAGTTGGGTCTTGCACATGGACTAATATGCCTCTTGTTTGGTCCTTGTAACAAAAAAATGAACCATATCACAGTTGTATCTTTCTATATTTTCATGCTACTTCAATTCCTTTTAACAACTTTGCGGTTTGTTATAGTTGAGACTTGAGACAAAGATTTATGAACTTGGGAAAAGTAAAACCCTGTTTGATTTCGATTTGAATGGTTTAGTTTTTGTAACCCTGATAAATCAGATATCTCAAATCAAATCATACTCAAACAATACATAAGATTAGGTAAAAGTATCATGCATAGATTCTCTATATCATCCTGGGAGATGTCAAGCAGACGCTGAGCGACAAGAGGAACTGAGAGGGTTCTTAGACGGTTACGTTCTTTGCGTATGAGCTTCTTCTCCTTCTCCTTGGCTTTCTTTTGTTGCTGTCCAGATTCTGCTACGTACTCGCTTTTCTTCTTCCTCTTTTCACCTTTTCTCTTCTGCAGCAGAAATAGCAGCTTCCTCTTCTTGCTTCTTCTTAGCCATAAGCTTTGCTTCTTTCTTCTGTTGCTTCTCAGCCTTTTCTTTTCACAATTCTAGGATCCTTTCTATATGCATTGTCAACAAGAGTCCGGATCCTAGCAATCCTGCAGAAAATATTGAGGAGAATGGAGAAGAGTCCGTGACAATAACCGTGAGAATATTTTTCAAAGATTTTTCTTTTTAGAAAACGTTTTTGTCTTTGAATTTTCTTTTATTTATTTATTTTAAAAAATGAATTTTAAATATGGAAACCGAATATTTTCTAATATATTCTTGCTATATTTTCGGATCTAATAATATTTATCCGTAGAATTCAGATTCTACTAAAGGTAGAACTGAGTAAAAAGATATGAAATCAGTTTCTACATGTATTAGAACGTTGTGAGAATGTAGATTCTGATTTCTACTGGTTTTAGATTTCAGTAAAAGTTTAGAATTCAATTTCTACTTTTATTAGAACTTTATTATAAGCGTGGAATGTGTATTCCAAACTGTTTTAGATTCGTGTTATCTCCGTAAAAAACATATTGCAGTTCGTAGAAATAGTGAAAAAAGTGGATTCCGTATTCTAATCTGTAGTATACAGATTCTAATTTCGGTAGAATAATATATGAAATTATTATTTACACATTTTTAAAACAAGAAAAAAATATCACTATATAGATACATGAGTTTCATCATTATGTACTATTTTTAAAAAAAAATTTGCTTCATAAATATTTTTTTTTTAATAATTTCGAAAATAAATAAGGGCATTAGATTCAAAGTTGGTACAAAATATAATTTAGACTAAAGGGATAATATCCAAACCTATTTGGTCTAAAAAAACAGTTTCCCCTAATAAAAAAAGCAAATAAGCTAGAAGTTGCATGCAGCCAATCAACAGAAAGGCAAATGCAACTTTTCAAATAACGATATACTAAGGATTAAGGAAGGAAATAGAGCTGGGTTTGGGACATTGTTTTCATTTATGTGTTAAGACCGTACGATGAACAAAAGCTTGTCTTAATTAGTCTAAACACCACTTAAAGTCCCTGCCTAGTCTCTAACTCTGTTAGAGACTTTCTCTCTCTGTGTCACAATGATCAGCAACAACTATCATGGGTAAGGTGGCCAGGAAGAGGAAGCAACGACCATCGGATTGTTGTATTGATCAATACCGTAAATCTGATTTCCTCCAGTTATTTGATCAGTGTTCAAATTTTCCATTCTTGGAGGAACTATCACCACCGAGGGAAGCTCCGTCGTGTCTTCCCCTCGGGAGATCTGCTTCTTGATCAGTCGTCCTTGGTCACTTAGTACAGCTCTCAGCTTCTTGACCTGCGTTGCATTTCAATTTGTAGAAGAGAGAGAGAGAGCCCATAATATTGAAAACAATGCAATATTGTACACAGACCTCCTCATGTAGCATCAGCTTCTCTTTGGTAACGACGTCGTACTCGTGCCTAAGCGAATCGTAGAGCTGCTCGAGCTGCTTGGCCTTCCACCTTGCACGGCGGTTTTGGAACCAAACCGCTATCTGACGTTGCTGCAAACCAAGCTCTCTAGACAGCTTCAGCTTCCTGTCGGAATCTAGTTTGATCTCTTCTTGAAAACTTCGTTCTAGTGAAGCTAATTGTCCACTCGTTAGTCTCTTCTTCTTTATTATCTCCTTTTTGTTGCTCGAGGTTCGGTACGCATTGATGATCTTTTCTGATTCCGGTACAGATATAACCGGTCCGGTTTGCGTAACGGCAGGCGTGTATGAATTTCCTGCTGTGTAAATACTCAAACGTTTTTCCTATCGAGCGCCTAGAATAAACTAGTCGGGAATATTTGAGAACTATAAAAATGTACAACAATATTTTGAAAAAATCCGGTTTATTTTATAGGGTAGACAGACATAAACGAATCTCAACCTTTCAAAAGTGACGTTTTGACTTTTTAAAATTTGGATCCCAAAGAAAAAAGTACTTTAGAAGTTTAGATCTCAATAAACTAATTAAGTTTTCTGGACTGAAGATAAAAACTTTTCATCTCACGAGGTTATTTAGGTTATGCCAGGGTCTTTGGAATGATGCCATGGAACACTTTCTCAATATATATTGCATACAACCAACAGAAAAGATAATAGAACACCTACGACACTTCAAAAATGAAAATAAAAGGAAAACAATTGAAAGTTTTCTTTTGTGGAGTAGTTCATGAATTTATTATGACGAAAACAAAGTCCATGAACTTGTCAAACGTGAGATTATCTTGGCATTTACATTATACACTAACATTTTGGTGAATATATATGGATTGAAAACCTTATGTCAATTCAATTAAATCAAAGAACCGAACTAAACTATATATGTAATTAAAATATAGTGTGTATATATTTAACTGTCTGCGTATATATACCTGCATAAGGGTCATAGTTGAAGCTATGAAGCGAGTTAAGGGAGCTCGACTCCGGCCATGGCGGCGGCATAAAAGCAACTCTCACGTTTTCCACATTGCCTGTCATTGACCATTCCATTTCTTTTGTTTTCCTTCAGTTCTATGTGAAACTTAGTATATATAAGGAGATATATATGAGAGGTGGCTCAAAAGGTTTTACTTTATAGGATCTAATATAAATGAAAAATAAAAGAAAAAACCTAGGGTTTTGATGGACCACAAGATAGAAGTAAGAGAGGCGTGACAAAAAGGTTTTCTTGTATACACTTTGTCTTTTGGAGTTGCAACAAAGTGTGAGAGCATGTAGTGTTCAAAGCAAGATATACAAAATTGGGATATACATTTAGGGGGAGAGAAGGTATAGAGATAGTGATGGAAAGAGAGTGAGATGTATGTTTTCTGTGAGTTTTTTCACCTAATAGGGAGCAACCCAACAGTCCCTTTTGTTTTGGAATTTAAAGATCGAAAAGGAAAGCGTGATATAGTTTTGTCTTTCTTGCACATCATCAATCATCAATCATCAACCATCATCTCTGTAACGTTGATATAGGCTGAGATATTTTGTTGTATCCAAGGGATTAAACTTGAAACTGAAGAATATTTCGGATATATATTTCAACATAACACAATCGTCGTTTTCTGATCAAAAAATAAAATCGTCTTTTCGATCAGAAATAAAATTAAATAAGATCGCCGTGTAATATATGTGTTGTTATAAGTTTGGAACACAATGTGAAACCAACCAAGGTTGTTTGGAGACCATGTGCGTTTCTACGGTATATATACAGAAGCTTAATTTTACTATATACATATAAAAACTATAAGAGGTTTAATACTTGGTGCATTTAAAATGTATAGCGAAAATTTTAGGCTTATATTAGAGAAACTTATTACAATGATTTTAGAAAATTACTAGCGAATGCACCAAGCATTTGCTTTAAAAGAGTGTAAATCAATAAATGTTGCATGGCATTCTGTCTGGATTAATTATAATTTAACGGATCTTCTAAACTTGGAACCTTTTAACATTTACATAAATCTACTTGTGGGCAATGACATTAAAACCACCGTCTAAATTGACTGATTTTATTGACGTGGAAAAATAAATGTAGCTGAGAAGAAAAATGAAGGAACATTTATGAAATTTTATAAATATTTTGAATTTCATGTGTATTAATATATGTGGGGGTACTTATTTTTAACAAAGTTAAGCTTATAATATGTGAAAGAGAGAGAGTGAAAAGAAACTAATGGTCCCCAAAAACGCCATAAAAGACAATGTGGCTCCCCTCTCCTTTGGCTATGCCTCCATTCTTGGTCCTAAGATTTTCAGTTATTGTTTTGTCTTATATACACCATCTAAATCTACATTATATATATAGGTGTTTATGTAAATTAATATGCAAAATAGTTGTCACTAGTGGCAAGTCCATAACCATGTATATGTGCAGTAACCTGTATAGATTATAGGGTGAGGCCAAAAGCTACCTTTGAAAGCTAAGAATCAACACAGAGAGCAAAGTAGATCATCTATATATAAAGTCTGATACGACCAATAAAAGCCAAAACAGAACAAGTTTGAAAACTAAGTCTCAATGTCCTCATCTACTGTGTACTCGTCTTCCTTTCTTTACCCCCACATTCTTTTATTAACTTGCAGTTGTACACAAAATCTGTCTCTCTCATATTCAATTGCTACTCAACAAATGTTTGATGTATAACAGTGTCAGAGAGAGATCTAGAGGGGAGGAGAGAGGAAATGATGAATCATTTTGCATGTTAAAAGTAGATAGGATTGAACAGACTGATGATAAGGAATGAGTTGTAAAATTAAGGGTTTTCTACAAAAAAAAAAACCCTTAATGTAGTTTTTTTTTGTAAATTAAACCGCGAACTCAAAAATCTGCACGTCAACCCTCCAAGTGCTAGTCAAACCGCAATATAACCCTCGTTCGTGTATATGTGTATTTGACTATGTATAATTTTAACATTTATCAATACTACGTCGTTTTGGCTGTAGTTTTTAATAAAAAATATTTGTGCACGTCTAAGTTTGAACCTTGAACCTTACACACAATCTGCATCCTACATAACCAATTCAGCTAACGGATATATTTATACACTTAACAAACGCAACTATATATATTTCTAAATTCATTCCGAAATGACCTTGTTTCTTATTTTTTCCTTGGACATAGGAGTTTGTGTAATGAATATGTGGGTAATCCTTAGATTGTTATTCAAACATTTACTTTTTTCGGTTCTCTGTACTTATACAGTAAAACTTCTATAAATTAATAATGTTGGGACTTTAAAAATTTATTAATTTAAAAAAATTCCTTATTTAGAATTTTTATTTTAAAATATATTTATTCTAAGATAAAAAACAATTGATTTTAATATATAGATATTAATTATTATTTTTAAAAAATTACATTCATATTAATTTTGTTATATTATTTGATGTATATAATATATATTGTATAGAATTTAAATGTGGTTTTAGATATAATGTTACTAAAATGTTATCAAAATATATTAAGTGTTAAGAAAATATAAAGATAATTTCAATGTAAATTTAAAAGAAAAAATATAATGATTTTTCTTACTTATATAAATATGTATACATAAAAATTATTAATTTATAATTTTAATGGGACAATATATTTACATAGTATTTTCTAAGAAAATATTATCTTATTATTTTATCAATCTGTGTCATCGTGGGAGTGCATCATTTCTATGGTCATGGGAGTGCATCATTTCTTTGTTCTTTGCTCTGGCCACGATAATACTCAAAAAGAATGCGGAGATGAGCCGGAAACAAGAATCCCATTTCGATTATTGTTCAAAACATGCATGTGAGAAAATAACTATAGTAGAACCTCTATAAATTAATATTTTATAAATTAATAATATCTATAAATTAATAAATTTCACCGGTCCCGACTTGGGCCGGTTCAAAATTTGACATAAATGGATAAAATAATAAGATAATGTTTTTTTTAGAAAATACTATGTAAATATTTGGTCCCATTAAAATTATAAATTAATAATTGTTTATGTATACATATTTATATAAGTAAGAACCTATCATTATATTTTTTATTTTTTTATTCACAATGAAATTATCTTTAAATTTTCTCAACACTTAATATATTTTTGATGAGATTTTAGTAACATTATATCTAAACCACATTCAAATTCTATACAATATATATTATATACACAAAATAATATAAAAAAATTAATATAAATGTAATTTTTTAAAAATAATAATTAATGTCTATACATTAAAATCAAATAGTTTTTATCTTAGAATAAATATATTTTAAAATAAAAAATCTAAATATTGTAAATTAATAAATTTTTAAATTCCCAACATTATTACTTTATAGAATTTTTATTGTATAAGTAAAGAGAATCAAAAAAAGTAAATGTTTGAGTGACAATCCAATGATGACCCCTCACATTCATTACACAAGCTCCCATGTCCAAAGAAAAAATAAGAAACAAAGTCGGAATGAATTTAGAAATAGATATAGTTGCATTATGTAAAAAGTTTAAGGTACAAACCCAGACGTGCGTAAATTTTTTTCATTAAAAATTATAGCCTAAACGACGTAGTATTGATAAATGTAAAAATTATACACAGTCAAATATATATATACACGACCAAGGGTTATATTGCAGTTTGACTGGCACTTGAAAGATTGATCCGTGGATTTTTTAGTTCACAGTTTAATTTGCAAAAAATAACTACATTGAAGTTTTTTTTTTGCAGAAAATCCTAAAATTAACGACAGTGTACAAGAAACATGGAAGCTTTTGAGCCTAAACTCTTGAAAAAGATGAGGCATCACAATTTTTCATAGTGTTATTTTCTTAATAGAAATTTCAATGAATTTATAATTGCATCCATTGTAAAGGATTCGTTCGATAACAACTTATCATACTCCCGTTTTCTTAATTAAATTATACTATTTCAGCAAAAGACCCTTCATAAAAAGTCTATTTTCAGGGAAAAATTAGTTACGTTTCTATAACCCAAAATAATATTGTTCTGAGTGTTTTTACTCATATTAGGGCTGGGCACTAATACTTGTTACTCGTCAATACTTGCTACTTGATTCGTACTCGGTTTGAAAAGTCAAGTACTTGGCGTTTTCAAGACAAGTAACAAGTATGTAAATCATATTACTTGTAAGTACAAGTCAAGTATCAAGTATCACAAATTTTTTTAATACTCGGCTTGTTACTTGTTTGATTACTTAATATTAATTCTAAAAATATGTTACTTATTTGATTACTTAATATTAATTCTAAAAATTTGTACTATCTCTTAATATATTTTTTTTACTACTGTTCTTGTAATAAAATTTATTTATTTTTAGCTTTTTAGGTATTTAATGTAATATATACTTATATTCAATGAATTATATATACACACACTAAATCAAATAACTTGAATAAACTAAGTAAAAAACAAATATATGAAAAAAACATATATATTCCACGTTAACCAAAACTTATATGTTGTAGTATATTTAATTTCAAAATTTTAAAGCTAAATAAACAAGTATCAAGTATTAACAAGTAATTTACAAGTATTTAAAATATAGGCAAGTACTTGAATAGTTAAGTACTTGATCGAATCAAGTATAAGTACAAGTAAAAAATTTTAATACTTGCACAAAGCAAGTCAAGTAGCAGGTAGGACAAAAACCACAAGTACCCGGCTTGCGCCCAGGCCTAACTCATATACTGTTTTTAATGTTAAGTATGGGTTATGAGAAGAAATCCATTCTGTTCTCAAAAATGGTTATTGAACTTCAAAATTTTCCTATCCACACTGACCTAATTACTCTTACTTTCGTGAAATGATCGCAACTCCTTCCAACTTTTGTAAATCAATGTTTTTTTTCTGACAAAGGGATTTGTAAATAAATATTTTCACCTATGAAAACTTATACTGAAAGTGAAACTTTATTAATACGAGGTCATTTCTCTGCACTACACGCAGATAACTGTCTATTAAATTTCATTACTAATGTTCTTCCGTTAATATAAATATTGTAT